TATTTTTCCCCAACACAGGGAGTCACAAACATTTTCTATAGATTAATGAAATGAAAATAATGAAGTGGCAAGTGATGATATGCATGATTAAATATGTATTCAATCAATAAAAATAATGATATATTGTACTGCTGCACTATGGGTAGGATAATACTAATAGAAAAAGCAAGAGTGTTTATTGTGTAATTATTGATCATAATGTACTGTATTAACCTATTATATGTTTTTCTTCATATTTTATTTCTACTCCATTAATGGTTGATGCTGTATAATCAAGTCTGTGAGGCTTGCAAATTGAAAGCAGACGAGAAAGCAGATCATTTTGAACATCTTGATCTAATGATTAGGCATTAGAGTGGAGCGCTGATCTTTTAATACACTAGGTGTTGTATGATAACCTAATTCTGTTTTTTAGGCTGAACTTTTGGAACAATTGCTGCTCTATCTCTTAATTAGGCTTGGGAGTAGACTTACCATAATGATTTCATAACCATTGCTAAGTCTCTTCTTGAGACTAGGGAATGCCTGGAGAGCTGATCGAGCTCTCAAAGGTTTAGGGAGTGGAGTTGATGGGTTGGGATAAAAAGTTCCAAATCAGGCTGTCACCATGGGATCATGTTTACAATGAATGTACCACTGTACATGCTGTCACAAGGTTGAACCCGGGACCCTTTTTCTCACTTTGCAATTTGATTTGCATCTTACGACAATTATTCAATTTATCGTTTTCAAATTTTCAATTTTTAACAAAGTCTTCATAGTTTGGTATTTGTTTGCATATATAGTTTGCATATTTGTTTACAGTCATATAGCAGTACACATTTATTGTGATATACAGTAATTGTATCATTTCTCTTTCTGGAGTTTTCAGGTATCCTGAATTATAATGCCCTTCCTCACAACTGATTCTATGCCATGGTAAAATCCTACTTGAATCAATCATAATTACTTGAATTGATTACCCTCAGCTCATCTATAATATCAATGTACAAATTTAGTTTTCGATCACTTATCATCAATGCAGACTCTATCAGTTTGAAATATGACATAATATAGCTCTACTTATTCTCACAAATCATCAGCTAAATCCAGTCTTCTTAGTTATCGACCTGATTCTACAACCTTCCTTATGTAAAACTGCTGGATGGTGTTAGCTGCACATGACTCAAACACATCAATTTTGAATATCAATCTCTCCATACCCAGTAATGATGGAGTTTTATCTACTGTGGATGTATGCAGTAATACGTAATTATAACTCCTTGAATATGTCAATTAAAGATTATGTCAGTTAAGTAGTGGCATAATTGAAATTTTTACCATTTTCTTTTTCACCAATGATATTATGAACTTTCTTGACTGCAATATTTTCCCTTTTTTGCTGAAGATCAGCTCACATTAATGTATAGTGCTGTGTGTCCAATTGAATATCACAGCCTTGACTGATTTCATTATATTTAAAGTGAAACTCATGAAGTATATTTATTCTCATTCTTAATCCGTATTGCTCTCATTTATTTTATTTTGTTTACAAGTTGAAACTTGCCACTGATATTACTATATTTCAGGATATTATCTTGAAATAGCATAAACTATTATATTATGCTTTTCTTGTGTTGTCTAAAAAATCTTAAAATAAGTATCAGTGCCCAGTATCTGTGGCAAAGACAAGCCAAACCAGTCACTCGTCGCAAATCGTGTTACAGAGAAATTGGCCAAAACATGTTGGAATGTCAAATTTTTAAAAATCTATTTTATTGCACTAAACTAACCTTTATATGTCTATACATCATTCTATGCTGTTATTTTCCCCATTTTCAATGTTAAAACAACAATTTTTAAGGATTTAAAGATAGTTTCTGCATGAGAAATGCNNAATGCATGAAATCATAAACTTTGAAGGCTGATTTCTCATATATTGTTTTTTAAACAGCTGTGTGATTAAACGCTTGTAACTTCATAAGGAAATGTACGATTTGAATGATTTTTTTACCATTTTATAGCTATAATTTTACTCTCCGACACTTTATTACTAACTCAAAATTTTTGCGACGAGTGACTGGTTTGGGTTGTCTTTGCCACATTTGGTCATTTGTGATTAGCAATTCAACAATAACATGAATTAGTGTATGATAAACAATAATAAATATGTAATAAATAAGTCTGAATACAGTATTGTGAAGTACTGTATTGTAATCTTATAGGAATTAAGTCTTTTCTTCAACCTGTTAAATTTGCATAGGGAACTCTCCATACAATACTACTTAACATGTCATTATCAATTTCCTTTCTACATAGCTTACATTCAATTTGAATATTCATGAATATTCATCTGTCCATAGATTATCTCTCCCTTTGATGAGGATGTAACCTTTGAAATTAATTAAACTCCTTTCTAATTCTAATTTCATTATCACTGTAATTTATGAATTTTACATAATTACATTCATTATTTAAAGTTCAATCTCTTCTGTATCCAGAAAAATATTGTCAAATTCTCCAACCACCCTTGCATTATTATTGTTTTAGTATTATTGTTGTCTTTTCTGTTATTGCTCTTATTGTTATTTTTTATAATTTTATTTTTCTTATTTTTTAAAAAGTAATAATAATTCCTGATTAATTTTTAGGGTTTTTTTTATCCTTAAAAAAAAAAATTATATAATTTTTTAACCTTTTTGTTACAATGTTTTTACACTTTACTTTTATTCAGTGTACATTTGTTCTAAATTTTATGCAATTTTGTGACATCCGTGATTTTATGTTGATTTTGACTGAATAAATGAATAAAAAATGGAACAAGTTTGCTATACTCTTATTTATTAAATGTTTAATTTCAGCAGCTCAGGACTGGGGATGTTGTACGTATGTGCTAGTGTTCCTGTCGTACCTTATTGTCATATTCACATTTCCGTTTTCTCTTGCGTACACTCTCCGTGTAAGTAATCTTATATAGTTTTTATGCAGTATTTCACTACATTAATAAATAACGTCAAATAAAAAAGAAGTATATTTTGTCAAAACTTTTTGAAGAATGGTAGTAAGCATCTTTTTAAAACCAAAATGGAAATATAAAAATTACAAATATTATTGCTGTTTCAGTGGATAAGACTGATATCAAATGCTGATAAAAATCTTTATATTAAAAAAATTGTAGTAGAAATGCAATAGCAATTGTCTTTATAGTATACAGTAGTATAATATGTAAGTTTTTTGATGTGTATGGATTTCATGTGATGAATTATGGTAAATTTTTGACATTCAGTCAAAAGATCTGAGGCTCGAGTCATGGGTCATTGTTCAAGGCACTTTAATACCATGTTTTCTCTCTCCACCCTGGGCACCTGGCAGATATAAATGCCAATGTACTGATCATTCAAGTAGCTAGCTGCAACATTATACGGAATACTCCCCCAGGGACCAGATTATGTTCCATGATTGATATGAATGATACCTACTGTAATGACTCACCAAGGGAATAATGTAAAGTGAATCAAAACCGTGGCAATAAGCAGTTAAGACCAACATATTATTGAAAAGGATTGCAAATTAATTTTATTATATCTTAGTATTATTTATACTGTATTTCATGTATCCTAACTACCTTTTAATTTTTAAATCATTAAATGATGATTTGGATACATATAATATTTTAAAAATTCACTGAATTTTATCCGAATCATCATTTTTTTAAAGAATAAGCTTGTTTACAGATTTTGTTCGATCCTTCAGATGGTACAGGAGTATGAACGCGCTGTTATCTTTCGCCTGGGTCTGTTGCTACCTGGTGAAGCTAAAGGTCCTGGTCTCTTTTTTATTCTGCCCTGCATTGATAATTATGTGAAGGTGGACCTGAGAACTGTCTCATTTGATGTACCCCCACAAGAGGTGAGTTCATTTATCACTCATCTACAATAATGGTAATACAATAATGGTATTACAATAATAATCTACAATAAATCTTAAATGTTTAATTTTTTTTTTTTTTTTTTTTTTTATGCACTATAAAGAAATGTATACATTACATTATTTTTATATTTAATTCACATTAAGTGTATTGGACAGGATGAAACTATTTGATTACTTTTTATAATTTATAAAGTATCACAGCCATGTCGTCACAACACCAGGTGGCGCCTTCTGCTGCCAACCAGACGTTGGTTACAGTTCATTACGCCTTAATGACTTATAGGCTTTCTGGAATAGGCATTTTAAAATTTAATATTTTACCCTCAAAATGTACTAAAAACACAAAAGCTAGCATTTATATTAGTTATCGAACATACATTTAATCATCAATTAAAATTTACAAAGAAAAACTAAGATACAACATCTTAATAATTACATTAGAAATTTTAATCAATGTTTTGTCAGTGGAGATAATGGCGTCTGGTTGAACGAATTTTGCAACGATAACAACAGAGTAGTATCACGTGAGATCGTGACATAACACTGTATGGTGTTTAATTTTTTTTGTTTGCTTATGTACAATATAGATATTTAAATACATTACATTATTACATTATTTTTATATTTAATTCACATTAAGTATATTGGATGGGATGAAACTTTTTAATTGCTGCGAAGCAGCCAATTCATATTCTTGGCAGCAATTTGACCTCTGAAAGGTCATTGTTTGTCAAAAAACCTGCGCCTAAGACAACTGAGAAGCGGAGTTTCCTTCTTTCATTCTGCCGGGTAAAATCAATTACTTTAGGCGACATTTGTAGACTAACCTACACGTACTGTAGAAACGGTTGCGTTTCTGTAGAGTTTTGTAAGTGAAAATAGGTGGCGCACAGCGAAATGCCCAGTTGTCAGAACCACGCTAATGATCGTGTTGCTACGAGGATTGTGTATGTGTAATGACAGGAGCAAACGGTACATTA